AGCATATCAACCACCACTTTCTGATCTTTCCAAAGTCGTCGGCGCGGAGCCGGACACCTATTTTTTGGACAGAGCGAAGAATTACGGTGAGATCATTCAGCTCTGAGCGGACGGCGTTGTGGACGACAGCAAAAATATCTTTTGTCCAAATCTTCTTGTTTACCCTGCCATACTCGCAGTATTCAAGAGAAGTAATATGCTCAAACTTGAAAGGCTCTTCCAGTGGAGCACATTCTCCTGCATTTTTAAAGATTGGCCGGCATTGGTCGGTGTTCGACAGACTGTTGAATCTGTCGGTTATGCTTTTCGCATTTCTTTTAAACAATCCGGACCGAATGCTCGAGACTGCGTTCTTTCGACTTGCCCCGAACGGTTGCATAGCCTTTGCCTCGGAGCTCCCTACTTCAGTCGAATCCCATGCTGTTGGATCCACAATTGCCCGCTTCGACTTCGATTTCTTTTGCATGTTTTCCTAGTTCTTGATGATTTAACTTGTGAGTTGAGTAGGATGGAAATATTACAACAAGCGGTGAAGATAGTTTCCGTATTATGGACTGTCAGTAGCAATGGAATCGAAGGATTTTAAGAGGACAGGTCGGTGCCTTGTTTCGTTAGCTCTGGACCCTTCAATGTCAATGTTAAGCACGTTTTTCAGGAACAGATTTAGATGTTTTTCTGGATTGCTGGTGTTGACAGTGAGGTCATATGCGACAATTTCTTGTCTCAAGCGCAATGGAGCTATGTTTCAACTGCAGTGTGGAAAACACAAGTGTGGTCTAGTGTAGTGTTCTGTATCATAATTAATGAGCGTGAAAGCTCAAAAGATAGAAATTAACGAGCGCTTTGGGGCGTTCGCTGTGATTCCGAGCATCCACAGGTACATCGGATGGCTGCAGATATATGGCCAATGACTACAGTAGGTGGAGGAGGAAGAAGAGCAAGCTCAAAAAGGAAAGGCATAAAAATTCGTGCACGCTTTTTTTTTACTTGTGGGGAATTGCGATTACACGGCGGGATAGTACGGTAGGAGCAGAACAGGGCGGCTCTAGTGTAGTGATTCCAGGGCACAATGAATCCGTCTGAAAGAGACTTCAAGTGCGTTTCTGTCGCAGGCATTTAACGACTGTGCGAAAAACGCAACGGAGGGCGACGAAGGGCTACTGCAGCAAAGTGCTTGTGCAGCATCTGATATCAGATGCTATCAATAGCAGAGATGGGATGGCATATGTACTGTAGCAAGGTCCGGGGCCAGACAAGCTTTCTGTTTCTCCCTTCGCATCGGAAACAGAACGAGGCAGATGCACTGTATCTACAGTGCGGCAGTGCGTCCTTGAGGTGGTGGAAGAACGAGTTGTTGCCTTTGTTGACAAGAATGCAAAGGCAGTCTCTGTGGAAAGCTATGAAGTCTGCAGTTCTTATTTAGATGTACCATTCCGCAGTACAGCCGCTACTCAGTACACGTGTACACGTGTTGGATTTGGCAAAATATGGAAATAAAGGAATGTTTTCCAGCGATTGTGTTTCTTTGAAGAAACTTTGTTTTTTGGGT